CATGACCCGTCCAGCCATGATGATCGATAAGTTGAACTCATTAAAGTTGCAGGATGGAGATGTCGTTTACAACGTTTGAGAGATATGCTCATTACTTATATTTTCTAGCAAATGTAGATCATGACTTGCGATTTCATCATTGGATATCATATAATCTATGTCAATTCTATTGTTATTTGCCATATAATCAATATTTCTAATTTTCTTAAGTTAGGGGGTTTAATGTTTGAGTTCGTTGCTCTGGAAAAGAAACAAAATATTAGAGAAATCAACAAAACGGCACAAGTGTCGTTAAACGACACATATGGCGTTCTATCTATTAATACGAATATAAGCAGTCACGACCCGTACGAACCCCAATAATCGATAAGCTAAACTCATTAAAGTTGCAAAATGGACATGTCATTTACAACATTCGAAATATATGCCCATTACTTATACTTTCAAACGAATTAAGATCAAAACTTGTGATTTCACAATTTTATGACATATATTCTATATCAATTCTTCAGTTAGTTGTCACATAATCAACATTTTTGACCTTCTTGAGTTAGGGGGTTCAATGTTTGAGGTTGTTCCGAGGGAAAAGTAGCAAAATATTGGAGAAATCAACAGAACGGCACAAGTGCCGTTTAACGATCATTATGTCGTTATGTCTGTAAACATGAGTATAAGCAGTCACGATCCGTCCGAGTCAAGATAATCGATAAGCTAAACTTATTTAAGTTGCAGGATGGACATGCCGTTTAAAACATTCTGGAGATATGCTCATTATTAATACTTTCAAATGAATTTAGATCAAGATTTGTGATTTTACCGTTTGATACTATATATTCTATATCAATTCTACCGTTAGTTGTGACATTATCAACATTGTCGACCTTATTAAGTTATGGAGTCCAATGTTTGAGGTCGCTCCGCTGGACAAGTTGCAAAATATTGGAGAAATCAACAGAACGGCACAATTGCCGTTTAAGGACACTTGTGTCGTTATGTCTGTAAACACAAATATAAGCAGTCACGACCTGTCTAAGCCACTATAATCGATAAGCTGAACTCATTTAAGTTACATGATAGACATGCCGTTTACAACATTCGAGAGATATGCTCATTATTAATACTTTCAAACGAATTTAGATCAAGACTTGTGATTTCACCTTTGATACAATATATTCTATATCAATTATACTAATGCTTGAGGTCGTTCAGTTGGAAAAGTAACAAAATATTGGAGAAATCAATAGAATGGTACAAGTGCTGTTTTACGACCATTGTGTCGTTATGTTCGCAAATACGAGTATGAGCAGCCATGACCCGTCTGAACAACGATAATCGATAAGCTGAACTCATTTAAGTTCAGGATGGACATTTCGTTTAAAACATTCGGGCAATGTACTCATTATTAATACTTTCAAACGAATTTAGATCAAGACTTGTGATTTCACTGTTTGATACCATATATTCTATATCAATTCTACCGTTAAGAATGGCCAAAAAATTCAACAAACCCGATACCCACTACCCCGCCCCGAATGGAGAGGGATAACTCGCTTAATCGGGAATTTGGGGCTGGGACGGGTAACGGAGGCCCCGCCCCATTAAATTTTTTTTATATATAATTTTTTTTTAAGAATCCAATACTTTAAATGAAAATTTTCATTGATTCTAATAGAAAATAACAACTAAAATTATTTGTCTAAATCTAATGAATATGGGCAATAAAAATAAATTATCAAAAACTAAAAAAAAAAAAATAAAAGGGGAGTAAACGGGGAAAGGCCACATCCTTGCCCCACCTTAAACGGGTAACAGGGCCTCGTTGCCATCCCATTTAATTTTTTTTAGAATTCAATACTTTAAATGAAAATTTTCACAAAATTTCATTAGTTCTAATAGAAAATAGCAACTAAAATTATTTATCTAAATCTAATGAATATGGACAATAAAAATAAATTATCAAAAAAAAAAATTAAACGGGTAGTAAACGGGGCAAGGGCCCCGCCCCGACCCCTCCTCGCCTTAAACGGGGAATTTCTTAGCGGGGCAGGGAAAGCCCCCCGCCCCGTTGCCATCCCTATCTATCGTTAGTTGTCACATTATCAACATTTTCGACATTCTTAAGTTAGGAGGTCCAATACTTGAGGTCGTTCCGCTGGAAAAGTAGCAAAATATTGAAGAGATCAACCGAATGGCACGAGTGCCATTTAACGACACTTGTGTCGTTATGTCTGTAAATACGAGTATAAGCAGCTAAGACCCATTCGATACCCGATAATCGATCAGCTGAACTCATTTAAGTTGCAGTATGAATGTGTCGTTTACAACATTCGGGAGATATGCTCATTATTTAATCAACATGAAAAAATAGAACAACACAAATGTCGTTACTATTTTGAAAACTGCACTAGTGTCGTTACAACACCATTGATATTTTATTATAACAAAAAAAAGTATAATTGTCTTTATGGCTCCATCGAGTCTAAGACTGACAAAATCAATCGTTCCAAACATATAAACGGGGCAAGGGCCCCGCCCCGACCCCTCCTCGCCTTAAACGGGGAATTTCTTAGCGGGGCAGGGAGAGCCCCCCGCCCCGTTGCTATCCCTATCTATCGTTAGTTGTCACATTATCAACATTTTCGACATTCTTAAGTTAGGAGGTCCAATACTTGAGGTCGTTCCGCTGGAAAAGTAGCAAAATATTGAAGAGATCAACAGAATGGCACGAGTGCCATTTAACGACACTTGTGTCGTTATGTCTGTAAATACGAGTATAAGCAGCTAAGACCCATTCGATACCCGATAATCGATAAGCTGAACTCATTTAAGTTGCAGTATGAATGTGTCGTTTACAACATTCGGGGGATATGCTCATTATTTAATCAACATGAAAAAATAGAACAACACAAATGCCGTTACTATTTTGAAAACTGCACAAGTATCGTTACAACACCATTGATATTTTATTATAACAAAAAAAAAGTATAATTGTCTTTATGGCTCCATCGAGTCTAAGACTGACAAAATCAATCGTTCCAAACATTATAAATAGTTTTCTATTCAAAATAATAAAAATAGTACATCATAGCGTAACACCACCATCCTTTTTCAATATTATAAAAGCAATATATCGTAACACTACAAAAACCACATATAAAGAGTCTAAGACTGACAAAATCAATCGTTCCAAACATTATAAATAGTTTGCGTTTCAAAATGACAAAAGTAGTACATCATAACATAACACCACCATCATTTTTCAATATCACAAAAGCAGTACACTGTAACACTACAAAAGCCGCATATGTGTCATATTATCTTCATCGTTCATGTCTCTCGTTGAGTGGTACACGATCTGTACAAGCGATAAGGTTATGCCCAGTTTTCAAACACCCACTACACTTACAAGACTTGTGTACCTCTCCGGCTAATTGTTTCCTCTATTTTGGTGGACGTTCAATCCCTCTTCATGTCAACAGTCATATCACCTTTCTTGATCCAACATTATCGAGAATTTTTCAGCCCGCCTCGTTTGGCAGTGGATAGTTGCGGACAGTACAGAAATACACCAAGTATGAAAAAAAATATCTAAACATACTATATTCAACAATAAAATGACCAATATACATGAGATTTCTAAAAAATACCTTTTTTTTCCTTCAAATATAATAGAGATTTCAATGTAGATAATATAGAAATCAAAACTATTGTTCAAAAGCTCAAAATATTGGAGAAAATAGATGAAGAATATAATGATAACAAGATTTGATGGTAGCAAGCACAGGGAGAGGCGGAGAGCACGTTGATACGATTGGAGTTGAATTGAGAAATTTGATTGGATTGAAATGGTGTTTTGGTCTTTTCCATGATAGGGATATTTTAGACATTTGATAATATTTATTTATTGTATTTTGTAATTGAGGTCATTTCACCAACAAACATTGAGAAAATGTTATTTATTCAACTATATTGTTTGACTGAGTCTTTTAACAAACTTTCCCGTAAAACAATTTACTCAATCTTTTCATTTAATTTCAATATCTGATGGCCCTCTTTCTCCTAAAAAGTCAGTCAACTCCGCATTGTAATTATTTAATTTTGAGTAATTGGCACAAAACTCCTCCAACCTTTGCCTCTATTGCGAAAATCTGCTTGATGACTTTTTACGTCCATTAATAGAGCCGTTAAATTCGCTTAAAGAGGGCAAAATGAAAAATGAATAATTGCAGTTGTAATCCCAAACTTTTTATTTTTTGCAAATTATACTCAAATATTTTATTTTTATCACTCACAGTCTCAAACTTTTAAAACTTCATCTTCTTCCCCAGTTCCACCCCCAAACCAACACCCAGTTAAGTCCATATGTAGACGTGGATAGTGGATGGACTGGTCCTGGATCAATGCAAAAGGAAGTGGAAATGTGGTTGCGGAAAGGGATTTTATTTATTTATTTATTTGTATAGGAGCCATATGTAGAAATAGTAGAGGGGAAAAAGTGGCGGTCATGTCCAAATCCATATAAGAGAACATTGATGTTTAATCTGGCGAGTGTTTGGAAATACTAGAAGGACTTGAGTTTGTTATGATATCACTGATAGAGTGAGATTGTATTAATGCCATAGCAGCGCTTCGGAACCCAAGCTTTCATGTCTCGGAGGGTGCACGTAATCCTACAAACTATCCTAGTGTTAATAAAAATTTCCTTCGGAAATCTATAATACTCACATGTCACCCTAGCTCGATATACCTTTTTACACTTTCAAGTGTATTGTTTGGATTAATTTCCCTGCGTTTACCATAAATACTATCAGTTCTGATGTGAATGGAAAAATCGGCCCATTGTAATACATATTTTCATTGTCGCTCAATATTTCAACCTTCTTAGCACTTACATGTTATCTCAACTATTAGATACTTATCATATTAATTTTACAAAGCCAAAGATATGTGGAAACAATCTGAATTCTCTCTACATTCGATTTTTCTTAAATCAATATTCCTTACAATCCAAGAGCTCCAAGGGGTGTCTTCCCTTGGCCAGCTTCAAAGTAGAATATAAGCATAGCCACCATAGCAAGTCTTGCGTGTTTAATTTCTGCAACTTTCAATCTCTCAAGCTTCTCCGTATCAGGGATATAAACTCCATCCTTGAGTGTACCGGCAAGGCCCAAAGGATCAAAGAATTTGCCTCCGGGATATCCTTGTTCGCCGGTTGCATTGGCAAAGTTTTCTGCAGTTCTCGACCATGGAGTAGCCCACTCAACAGATTGAGATTCCGGGTTGAAGAAGTCGACCCATCTTTTGCTCTCGACCCAACCCATGAGAAGGAGTTGGGTGCCAAGGAGAGAGCCAAAAGAGAAGGGTGCAACGGCGCCGGGTGCAGCGCCAGCTTCGAACCAGGGGATACCACTCCAAGCTTGGCCGACGAAGATGCCAACGACTGCAGTCATTGCCCATCTGCCGTGGATCAGCTCGGCTTCTCTGTACCATTTCAAGAATGCTGGATCCTTTCCAAGACCTAGCGGGTCGAAACCATAGTCACCAGGGAGCCTGCAATATGAACATTCAGAATATTAATCTCAAGGGGATGTTGAGAACATGGAATTTCAAAGAAGAAAATAACATTCAGAGAAAGCAATCGGTTCTAAGCACACTACTAGTCACCAGTTTTATAACATTATTCGACAATAAAAGAGAAACTATCCAATCTGTGGCGATGCCACGCAATAATAAAATCTCAAGTCGAACTTGGACCACTACTCATAACAACATTTTAAGATAAAACTCCGAATCTTAACAGTGTCGAGGGGTCGAGTGGCTACTATACAGTTGAAGGGGGAGGGATGGTGGCAAGCAGTTGGGATAGCGATACTTACGAGCCATCGAGCCACTCGGGGTCGATGAAGTTGCCACCACCTCTAACACCAGGAACCCAAGACTTCTTAGGAGCAGCAGCAGCAACCACAGTAAACCTCTTAGGAGACACTGCAGTTCTAGCTGCAATTGGTGCTGACAACAAAATCTGGGTGTTCTTGCCACCATTCAAGAATGCAGAAGAGCCCAATCCATTCACCAATGCAGCTGATGTCGAAGCCATATTTCTCTCTATTCACTCTTACTCTTCCCTAGACAAATTGACACTGATACTGAAACTGGCTATATGGTTTATCTGAAGTGGGAAAATCAAAAGGATTGATTTGTATGGAGCCAAGTAGGACAAGAGAAATCTAGGAATTCCTCTAGATAGATTTCGGACCAATAAGATCATCAACTCCATCCTCATCTTCTTTGATGTGGCCATCCACGTGGACATTTTCTTCGCCTCTACTTTTGATCTTTTTTCTCCTATCTATATGCATCACACAAGTACAATTATTTATTTCAAGTTTTGATGGGTTTTAAATTTTCGATCTTGTTATATGTAAATCAAGTTTAACATCATGCAAGCCAATAGATTTTTGTACATTGAGGGTGTGTTTGAGTCACATTTTTTTGGAAGAATGTATTCTACAATAGTAGATTGATAGAGAATGTGTGGTTGAAAAAGAAGGAAAAATTATTGATGTGATAGAAAATATTATTTTATTGAAAAATGTGTGGTTCAAAATGAGTAGAAGAATGAAAATAAAAATTTTAATGTGTACCAAAAAGGGGCTGATTTTAACAATATTTTTTTAATCAATGGTCAAATTTCCTTCACATTGGGAATATCAACAAGGAATGTACAAGAAGTATAATTCTTAAATTTTTCTCCATTTACACTAAATTATATGTATAAGTTTTTAAATATACATAATACATATATATTTACACATCCAACATTTTTTACCCCCTCTATTAAAATGAATTCATGTAACCAACTCTATAGCGTTTGTGGCTTTGTGCACCTTCTCCATTTAACTATCCTATGCAGTCAAACCATTGTAATTGCAGTAACAATTGGGAGATCCATGCCAAGCCCGTATTTGAGCTCCATTTCTCAAGAAAATGCATTGTTTGAATAGTAAAAAAAAGAGGAGAATATGTGGTTAAAAAATAAAGAATAATTATCGATTTACATGCAAAATTATTTTATAAAAGAATGTATAATTGAAAATAAGTGTTGAAAAAAATGTGTTTTTATTAAAATGGAGCCCAAGCATGAGCCAAATGTAGAATAGAAATTCACAGAACTAGCACTAAAAAGGATCGGAAAGAGATTATTTAATCTCTCATGTCTTGAGTAAAATATAATGAGTCCGGTCGATTAGTTAAAACAACACAAGTAAAAATATTTCTCAACTAAGAAGTACCAAAAAATATTCTTTTATTTTTGTTATTAAAATTATTGTTCTCTATTTATATATATATGTATACACTTTTATTTTTTTGTTAAAGAAGTATTTTTGTGGTGAACCGGAAAATTGGTCAAGATTTTCAACATACAATGTATAATTTAGAGAATGCTCATTGAAGGCCTTGTTCACCAAGAGTGCTCACACAATCATAGATATGGATGACATGCAGTGGCGGACCCACTTGGCCAGGGGGGCGGCCGCTTGTGCTGGGCTCCGTCCAAAGA